TTCTGCACACAGCAATTGATTTTTTTTTGATCTGCAAAATTTTATTAAGCAATAGCTGGACAACTCTTACAACTTCAAATCATCAAGAAAAAATAAGGAGATTAATCCATCTCAATAAAGACAGAAAATAACTTGGACAAACCACACCATTTGGAATGCAAACCATGAATGCCTTCTAGAACACCTCCCTCACAATCTAATACACAAAATGCCTAAGAAGAGAGGCAAATCAGGTGAGCTCTTTAGAATGCAATTGATAATCTCAACAGATATTGCTTGGAAAGTAACACAAAGCAGGGTGCTGAACTGAAAGCGAACCAACACCAAGGAACCAAGGCGCATGGGGCAGTGCACCATTCCCAAGGTTTGGACAAGAACATGCTGGTGGTCTGGTTGGTCTGGGACCTGTGCACCTGCATCGTGCATTTATAGTTAAAAAAAAAAAGGAGAAAGAAAATGACAGTAGTAATAAACTCAGAAATTATGTCCAAATTTACAGTACCAAAGTAATGCATTTATAAACAAATGCAAAAACAACACCCCTTTGGTAAAGAATACAGTGCCTTTTTCAGTCAAACACGTAACCCATGCTTTTCTACAACACGAAAAAAAATTTTTATCTACAATAAACGAGATCATAGAACCCTATCCCTCCCCTTTAAAAGAACTTGTAAACAGAAAATATAGGTACAAGTAAAGTTACAAGAAAATTGCACAGAGCCGAAGAAATGAAAACAAAATAAGCCACAACCCTTCAGAGTTTTATCAGCCAAAGATAAGAAAATACACGAATGGTGAAGAGTTTTGAGATGTGTGCTATTACAAAATCCCAGGAACTCAAAACAACATTTTTAACACATTTTGTCTCAACTAACTTTGTTCACAACCGTTGACTTGGCCAAGTGATGGATGGTCCACACAGGAACACAATGGGCTGTTTTCCCAGAAACCTGCACTTGAACACTGCAGAGCACACTCAAGAATTCAAGAGGGCCTAGGCCTACACTCCTGTCTTTTTTTTCCGATGCACTCGAAGGTCTTTGGGGCAAGTGGTGATTTATTTTAGGGCTGTTCCCAAGGGCGGCCACTGAGCAAGGCGGACTCATGGGGAGGTTCTTGTCTTATCTGGAATTGGTGCTTTTGTGTAATTTTATGAAAAGTGCGTTTTTCTAGAGGTGAATCTTCTAAAGATATTACTTAAAATGCCCTGATTTACATTCAGTAGATAGCTCATTAACATGGACAAGAAATATCTCTATAGAACGGCAATGTTCTGAAACATACCTTCCGAATATGTAAAGTGGAGTGAACTCATTTTGAGCTCTTGAGCTGTTAGAGTTGGACAGGAGTTTAGATTGTCCAGCTCATCCCTTTCATTTTACAGATGGACAAGTGGAGGTCCAAGGTCACCCTCCAACTTTGTGGCGGATCAGGCTTGATCCTGGGTCTCCTGACTTTCTGCTCTGATTACAGGATAAATGGACGCGTTTTCACATGTCCCCGTGGGACACTCAACAAGGGAGCAGTGGCCTTGGATGAAAAATACTAACCTGCATGATCCTGACATCTACTACCATTCGAGCTTTGACATTCTCTGCCTCCTTTACATCAATTTTTTTCAAAATATACATTCAGTGGATGGACTGTATAAAAATCTATGCCTTTGGTTTGATGAGGTTAGAATTAAGACAAATTTAACATTTTGTTTGTTTGTTAATACACTACTTTCCTCAAAAAGGCATGGATTTTTATGTAGTTGACTGTTTACTGGGCTAATCCTATATAATAAAAGCCTAATATGCTAAGTGTTCAGTCATCCGGTTGTCCGTTCAACCAATCAAAGTGTAACATGCTAATGATACTAGTATACTAAGGCCACTCAACCGCTTGCTATGACGTGCACTGACCACCAGGGGGCAGATGCTCCAACTGGCAGTTAGCTTGCTGCTGGGGTCCGGCCAATCAGGACTGAGTGAGACGGGCTGGACATGCTCTGGGGCCCTCCCTTGGTCCCTCCCCGGCTAGCCAACCTCCCGTGTCCCTCCCTGACCCCGATCGTGCACTGGTGGGGTCCCTTGGCCTAGCCTGCACCCTCTCGCAATCTGGGACCCCTTGGGGGATGTAGGAGAGCCGATTTCGGCTCAATCCTGTAGGCTAGGCTGAGGGACCCCACTGGTGCACGAATTCATGCACCAGGCCTCTAGTATTTTTTTATATGTAGGGATTCAATGAGGTATCTAAATAATCATAAATTGCTACCAATAAACATAAAGTATGTAGAATTCTGCTGCTTAAAGTACTGACTTTAGTAGCGCTTAACAAATTGAGAATGACTGAATGAAAACTATTTTTAAAATAAGTGAAGGCATCACCATTAGCTTAGAAGATAGCACACTGATGCAGACATCTGTTTAAGTAGACCTGGCACCTGAAATTACCTGCTCCTGAGCCGGGTAAGCAGAGCAGCGCTAATTCAGAGGCTCAATATGTGTGCAAAACATCCAGGACGAGGCCTCTGTCTCCACGTGGGGAAAATGCCTTTTGGGGAGTGGTCTAAGAATTAAGAAGTTTAGTTAATTATTTGCTACAATACATTCTCTTTACACATGTATTTTTAGCATTGATTCCAAGGATTTCCCCCAATATTTCCTCTTATTAAGAGAAGTTTTAAAAAGTAGCCCCTTTCATGGTCTTTATATCTCAAAAACCAATCAGAACTTTTAAAACTTATTACTAATAATCCCTTCCTTTGCCACCTACTCTAATCTTAAAAAGTCTCTTCTCATTTCATATCACCTTTTACTTTTAATTAAAAATAAAATTTTCAAAAGAAGGGGAAATATTTTAGGATATGTTATCTCATATATAATCACTACCTCAAAAAGCAAAGAAAAAATTACTCTTAAAGGATTAATAGAAATGTTTTTCCCAATTAGAAAAAGTTACAAACTGTCCAGCAAACCCCGCATCGTATCTTCTTTATTTCTTGCAGCAAAATATACTGCTACCAAGTAAGTCGTTACATTCTGTTTTTCTAAGTAAATTATAAAATGGGCATAACTCACCAGTAAATAGTAGTGAAGTAGTTTCTAGGAACACTATTAAAGCAGGATAAATAATGATCTCTTGGGCAATAAAACAGAAAATTGCATTTAAATTATTCTAGAAATAGGCTATAACCACATTGCACAACTAATAACCGCTGAAACATCATACCAAGCTACAAAAACTCATTAAAAAAATTGGATAAATCTGAATACATGACCAAATTCTTTTTGGAAGAATTTAGCCACCAAAGAATCAGGTTCAGGTCCACTGTTTTGACATGTCAGGTGGAACTAGCTGGGAGATTCCCTTCGCCATATTTAAAACCTTATCTGTATTTCTTTGGGGCTGGAGAGGATGGTGCATGATGGATGCCATCTTGTTCTGGGAAAGGAATGGGACAGTTTCTTTTCTAATTTTTAAACCAAAACAGGGAATTAAGAACATATTTCAAAACTAAAACATGGAATTAAAATTTTTTTAAAAAATAATTTTTTGTAGTTTTCCACTTTTCTGTTTTCAAACAAAATCCAAACATAGGCTAGTTCTTGTGCTCCTGCCCTAAACACCTCACAGATACAAACAACTGAGAACAATGCACTGGGTCTTGTCACCAGGGCTGAGTACTGCCCAGGGTGTCCGCTGAGGACGGGGTGAGGTGGGAAAAGATAATCTCAGTGGATTTTTCTTCTGCAATTAACCAGCAACTGCCTTAAATACTACAATTTTACCCATGCTGTCCCAGAGGTTCATCTCTATAAATAGTCTGCACAGTTAATAAACAACTGTTTTCTTGGAGAAGATGGTGCAAGAGATGACCACAGCTCTGCCTCTTGATACCCTGGCAAATGCTTAAACATTTTTGCTTACATTTCTAACCTGTTGAAACACATTTCTAGTCAATTGAGTTTTAATGTAGCTGAAAGAGGAAAGGAGCGCTTTCAAATCAGCATCGTTAGCATTTTTAGAGAAAGAAAGTGTAGAATAGTGTTGTCTGATGGGAAGGATAACGTCTACTGTCACATTTCAGAGTCATCAATAAAAAAGGAGAGGGAGTAAATGTTACTTCTCAGCCAGAGGGTACCCAGTGACTCGCCGGCTCCAGCGGAGAAAACTACAGCCCCCACCGCACCCTGGGACCTTGCCACGTTTCTCTCCTACCTTCTCCTCAAACCAGTCAGACTGAACCCATGAAATTATGACATATTACAAAACTTAGTGGAGTCTTCAATGTCAACATCCTCCAGAGAGGAGCATAGCCCTTGTACTATTTCAAGTCACACTACGGAACTCGCCATGTGTGCATGAGCAGGATTTTCCTCCTCGCCCGTCATCCCTTCCCCCACACCATCAGGAGCATATCCTACTCATACCTGGTAGCAGCGCCCCTGTAGAAAGCCTACTTTTATTAGTCAAACAGTGTGTTTGCCAAAATACCCTTCATTGATCAAGTCACCTTTAGGGGAGTAACATTAACATGTGTGAATTAAATGTTGTCCCTCAAGAGAACCTGTACCTTCAGGGTTTTGGGTGTGTTTTTTAAAAAAAGGGTTTTGATTGTACACTAGTGATGTTGTGGAGGATGAGAAGAATGCACACTCCGTATGTCTAAAAGAATAGCGGGCTATAATGCAGTCTGTCTTCCTTCCGAAGGACCCGTTTGTGTAGCTGACATAAGCAAGCCCAGTGGGACATTACCACAATCAATTATGTTTCCAAAAAAACACCAGGTGCCTGGTATCTTTGCTTCCAAACACCTCTCTTCTGTATTGTTTTGTTTGATTAAAAAGAAAGACAATAAAGAATAATAAAAGCCCAAACAAACGACAACGCTAACGGTCAGTGCCCTCTCCTGGGCCTGAGAGACTTTTCCAGTTTGCACTTGTCTTCTGGTCCCCAGGCGCCCAGACCCTTGCAGGCTCCTCTGCCATCTGTGATCAGGCCTCTCTGAAAAGGCTCCTCTGTCTCTTTCTGCTCCCCAAGCCAGTCTCTTCATTTGAGGCGCTGCGTCACGTTGGCCAGGGCCACTGCAAAGGCCTGCACAGCGGAGAAGGGGTACTGGAAGTCCAGAATATATGCATTGCCATCGATCCTTCCAAACTGCATCACCTGGAGGGAGGGCATCGAAGCAAAGACATTATAAGAAAACAAGGTGGAACAGGGCAACCAGGTCTGTGCGGCTCATGATGGAGGCAGACAGCACGGTCTAGGACAGTGGTTCTCAACCTTCTGGCCCTTTAAATACAGTTCTTCATGTTGTGACCCAACTATAAAATTATTTTCGTGGCTACTTCATAACTGTAATGTTGCTACTGTTATGAATCGTAATGTAAATATCTGATATACAGGATGGTCTTAGGCGACCCCTGTGAAAGGATTGTTCGACCGCCAAAGGGGTCACGACCCACAGGTTGAGAACCGCTGGTCTAGGAGTTATTTTTGCCAACAAAAGTGACTCTGGGAGGCTTCTAATTCTAACTATGAGTTTGTCAGAAACAAAGGAATGGAGGAACATGTTAAACAATGCAGCGGGGAGACAGGGAGCAAAATTCAGGGCGTGGGAAGCTCCACAGGTCAAATGAAGTGGTTTCCTCACCAAGGAGACAGACAGGAGAAAGCAGAAAGAAGAATCTATAAGCTGAAAGAGGCTTAAGAGGAATATCAACTGTCATTGTCAAATGTCACTGCTCAGAGAGGGACAAACACAGCACACCTCCTTCCCATCATGCTCACCTCCCCAGCCTGCTTTCCTTGGTCATTTCAGTACTCGCTGTGACCATCACATAACTGTCACATTACATGTTTTTTATTTGTGGTCTTTCTTCCATTTTTGTAGACTCCACGAGGCCGGGGCCTTTCTGTTGACCTCACTGCTTTCATTTCTGTACTCACAGCAGTTAGAAATGCATTTATGAAAACAGGAAGCAGTCCAGATTGGCCCGTGGGCCAGTTTGCCAACTCCTTGCTCGGAAGCTTGCCAGGCATATAGCAGGTGCTCAATAAATATTCTTTGGGTGAATGAATGAAAATGGGATTTAAATATGAGAAGTGAAGGGAATTCCCAGGATAGTAGAGAAGGGTAGTCCCAGCACAACAGCTATGCTGCAGGGATAGAGGCAAGCATTCTGGGTTGGAGCAGAAAGAACTGACAAATTACCCACCGAGTTTAACTGTACTGAGAGGAGATTTACATCCTGCCACAGGACTGGGAAATGACTTAGCAATAAATACACAGAGAAATAAGCCAACAAACACAACTGGGTAATTATTATGTTTTTTTTTTCTAGAAAAAAAACCTATACGATAAAAAAGCGAATGTAATTAAACCCTACTATGTGGCTCAGCTGTGAAACATTTACTGGCATAATAAGGTGACAGGCGACTACTGATTTAACTAAGAAAAGCAAAGGGGCAGAGCGGGGAGAGAATTGGCCCCCATCTAAGAGGGTCAGTTGGTTTCCACATTTCACAGGTGGCCTTTGGAAAATGATCCTCAAAGGCCAAAGCACCGAGACCCTTCACCTGGTTTTAAAAACCCAGAGAAGCCTCGACTCCGGCCAGGCCCGGGGACACCCTTACCTGCCGCCCCTCCAGCTCGATCTGGAAGTTCTTTGCCGACTCCTGGGTCACGCGCCCCCCGAAGTCCAGCTGGTAGACCTGGGTGGCCTCGTTCCAGAGAGGCTGCTTGTTGGCCATCACGTACACGAAGCCCTGGCTGCCCAGCCGCCCGTCCTCCCTCTCGCTGGCTTTCCGGCACTTGAACTCGTCCAGCTCGCTGGCTGTGCGCAGGCTCCGCTTGCTCTTCCAGCCCTTCTTGCTGCCCTGGCTCTGGTTCATCAGCTCGTCCCCGCTGATGAACAGCTCTGGCTCACTCTCCGAGCTGTCCTGGAACTCGTTCGTCTTATTCAACTTCTTCGACTTCAGCTGGTCTTTCTGACTCTTCACTTTCTTTTTCTCTCTCCCCAGGCGGGGGCTGGAGATCAGGGAATTAAAGTCACTCAGAGTCCGAGCCTCCTTCTTCACTTTGCCCTCGGTGATGGCCTGAACATTCCCTTCCTCTGCTCGGCTGTCCAGGCGCTTCCGGTTCTTCTTCCCGAATTTCTCTGTCCGCTGGGGGACCGGGCTTTCCGTCAGAGAGAGGACCTCCTGGAAGTTGTCTGAGGCCTCTACCATCACCTCTGTGCCCAGGTGGCTTTGGAGGTCGCTGGGTGGTGGTGGGGACACGAGGGGCTTCTCCACCACCAAGTGTGCCTTGGGGGGGAGAGTGCTCTGGGGGTTCTGCATGGGCGGGCACGCGCTGTAGGAATTCCAGGGGTGCAAGGCGATGGATGGCAGCTGTAAACTTGAGCACGTGCTGCTTCCGGGGTACATGGGGGGCAAGGTGCAGTAGGACAGGCTGGGAGGGTAGGCCGGCTGCAGGACCACAGCGGGCTCCTGCTGTGCAAACTGTGTTGGGGACAGGGTATCTTTTGAGGAGCAGGGAGCCTGAACTCCTGGCAAAGGGGGGTTGTTATAGCTTCCTGGATACGGCACTCCCATCCCATAGCCCGTCTGGAAAGTGGCAGTAGGGCTGGTGGGAGACTTGGGGGAGATAAAGGGCACTCGGGACACGTCCAGGTGCTGGCTCTGACCGACGACCAGGGGGGGCAGTTTCAGGGGGTTGGGCCCTCCAGTCTGTGCCGTCCTTTCCTGAGGCACCCAAATGTCCTCCCCCAGCACAGGGTCCCACTGGTAAGGGGGCGGCCGTTTCACGGCCACAGCAGCTTCAGGCATTGGGGGGTGCCGCAGCGGCTTTTCCACCGGACAGTGCTGGGCCAGCGCCTCATCCTCTGTGAAGGCTGAGTTGACATAGTCGGTGCGCTCGCGGGCACCCTCGGGGGGCTCAGGGAGGCTGTAGGAGGACTGCGAGGCCAGTGGGGAGGTCCTGGCTGC